TGAGAACGTTTTTTTTTTTTTTTTTTTTTATGTTCGCGTTCGGAGGGTTTTGGGCGCTTGTTCGCGTTCGCCTCCGAGCGCGAACACGGTGCTACGTAGCTCTACACTAAGAAAATTTCGGCAGTGCTTCCCGTAGGAAAAATGTCTTCTAAGAATTTATAATAACTCAAATATGAAAACAAAAACCGAACTCTAATTTAGGAAAATCAAATTTTGTCAAACTCTCTGAATTAGTAAAAAATTGGGCAGCATTCCCTTTAGAAAAAAATATTTTTCAGATTTTTATCAAGTCAGATATGAACCCAGAGCTCCTTAGATTTGTAAAAATTTCGGCAGCACTCCCTTCAGAAAAGTGTTAATCCAAGATTTATACAAAGCTAAGTTCAGAGTCTAAAATGACTTTGACTTCTCAAAGTTCAAATTTTGTCTAACTCCCTGAATTGACAAAAATTTGGGCAGCACTCCCTTTAGAAAGGGGGACCTTCCAGATTTTTACTAAGCCATATATAAAAGTCAAACAATATTGAACTTTGAAAAAACAAAATCTGACTAACTCCTTGGTTTTGTAAAAATTTCGGCAACGCTTCCCGTAGAGAAAGTGGCTTACCAAGATTTATACAAGACCAAGTATAATAAAAGATCCCAGAAAATGCAGGAGTTGACCTAAGTAAAACAAACTTAGCTCATAAAATGCAGGAGTTGAAACTATCTGCTATGACTCTAGGACGTGACGAGCAACTAAAGCAACTACCTATCAACTGAAACTCAAACTAAGTGATGTCACTCAAGCCACATCCAAGTCAAACCACAAAGGTAAATACTCTCACCAGTCCGAAAACCAACCTTATCAAACAATATCTCATGATCTTTCAATGATTTATCCCTTTATACCCAGCTTACATAAGGCATAAAGCTAGACCACCCAATCTTATGGGAACCTTTCTAGCTCAGTCGTAGAATATACACAAACACAGGGCACTACGACTTTTCTCTTCTTTGGGCACATGACTAGGTTAGTCAGCCTAGTCGCCCTGAACCATTTAAGTATCCAAGTTATATATAACTGTCTGCACTTTCTTTTTTAAAGTCACATATGACTGAACCGGTCATCTTAGATCAAGATTCAGTCTGTCTCTTCTTACCATAATTTTTATTTTTAATTCATACTCTCTTCAGTTGGTGATAAGCTATAGTTAGACCATCCAGTCTTATGGAAAAATGTTTGACTAGCCAGTTCATAAATAGAGTAGTATAAAATATAAACAATTTTAACTTTTTGGTTCCAGCATGTGCGCGGCTCCAGACCAGACCAACCAATCTTATGGGGACTTGTCCAGTTCTTTGTTTGTATTTCTCCCTCAAAAATAAAACAAGAGAGAGTCTGGGTCATCCAATCTTATGAAATATGCCCAACTCTCCTTCAGAACCAGAAAAACATAAGAAAACTCAAAAAGCAAGGCAACCAAGTTATCTAATCTTATGGAAAAATGTTTGGTCCCAAAATAATTCAAGCACAAATAGCCCTTGCAAATCAAAGCAACCACACCGCCCAATCGTATGGGAACCTGTTTGGTCCTTCAGGCAATCAGAAATAAACATAGCAGTGGGCCCTCCAATCGTTTGGAAACTCTCCCAACCTTTGGTTTACCAAGTCAAAATACAAGCAATATAGTCTTCCTCCCATTTTTCTCCCAGATGCAATCCCACAATCTGCTTTCAGTCATACAATAAAACTGAAACTCATATTACATATGCATTTCTTTACTTAAGTCAGAATTGTCATGAAAGTCAAATCAAAAGTCAAAGTAGGGATGCACACATTATACTCAGTCAAACATAGCAAGAGATATAGATAGGGGTTATAGCTGGGTTTATAGAAGGAACGCAAATGGTTATCTCTTTGTTCCCTGCCTCCATAATTCCTCCTGAGTTCCGGTAGATCTCCCGCAATCGGTGGGCTGACTCCCCACGAAGTCTTGTTGCGGTCCTATGGGTTGCAATCCCGCCTGTTGCCTTCCTCTCGTAACCAGGATCAGACTTAGAGTAAGAAGGGCAGAATGAGGGGTTTCAGACGCTCGAGGTACAAGAGTGGGACTGACTCATCTCTCAGGAGAGGGCCTTGTTGCCTTGATACGCCTGAGAGCCCCGCAATGGTAGCCAGAACGCGCAGCAGTCAGTCAAACTGAAGTCCGTCACCCGCCGTTGATTATCTGGCGACCTC